CTTTTATAGTAAATTATTGTCAAACAAGACAAATTAAAGTGATCATGATTCAGTATTAAGAACCAATAGGGAAACTTCCAGAGAGCTTAAATACTTTTTATCGGCCCTGTGTTGCTGTTGGTAATTAAACCAACTTTTTATTTATCTGTATATCACAGTCTACGAGTAAAGAACAAAGCCTGTTCCTGTGTTTTACACCCTCAGCGCTTCACTGCTCTACATCTGCATGAATCACTTTTGACTTGCAAATCGATCTGCTGCTTCCATTATTTCCATTATTTTCATTGTTCCAGGGATGTTTACATTTGCATCAGTCAGGTTTCCTGCTGTTCAGCTGAACCATCAGACTGCAGCAGAGTAAAAGCTGATGCTGGTAAATCTTCACTCCACAGACAGTAAAAACATGCTTACAAACTGTTCTTTGTGTTGTCTAATAATCTATGGATTATTGTCAGCTTTAATCTGTTGCTCTTTGGCCTCGAAAATGTCGAAAAATGCTACAAAAGATGGGTGAGTTTTACCCAAAGGCTTCCGTTTACTGTCACAGAGGAGGAAAGAAACCAGAAAATAGGACTGCAGGAGAAGAATAGATGCAAACAGCTGTGGAGACACGAAATCAACACATGAAGATGCAAAATAAGTTCAGGGAGACAAAACTATGAGAACAGACACAACATCAGCACAAAGAGACACCAAACTAGTGCAAGAACAGAAACATAGACAAACAGAACAAAACAGCACATCTGTACAAATAAAGGCAAGAAAGAGTTCAAACTTAATGCAACTGATTAGCAAGTAGCTGGAGGTTAGTTTCAGATTTGACAGCTAATCGATTATTGGCTGCAGCTCTGATGTGATCGGTGGTATGTGTGAACTCTGTATGTTCCCCCGATGCACACTGCTGGTTGTGTTTCTGTAACATGTTCAGGTGTTGCAGGTGAAACCACATTATCTGAATCTGCTGCTTTATTCTTCATCAACACTTCACTCCAGTAAAGTCTCTTGAAGACGTCCTGCTTGTGTCTCAGGGTTCTGTGGTGATTAGTTGATTGGAATCTGGTCCTTCTGGTTGCTCAGCTGTTCAATAATGATGGACTGTAGTGGAATGTGGGCCAGGCCATCATTCAGGTAATTTACAGGAAATCTGATCCTGACAGGTGTTCCAGGTAAGGTGTCTCCAAACTGAAACCATTCATCTGACAGGGCAGAGCTGCAGGTTTAATTTAGTCTGTACAAAATCTTTGGCTAATTTTCCACAGCTTTGAACCGGTGTTTCCACTGCTTCATTTCAGTTCAATGTGGTGTAAGGTGTGGTGGGAATCTGGTGTGTAACTGGATTAGCCAAATACTCCCTGTTCAATGCTTCCAATCAGCTGTGTGATTAAATACATTAACTAAAGCAGTGCTTCGTAATAATTAATGTCAGTTAAAGAAATGAAGAAATGTATTCATTCTTATGCATCTCCTGTGTGTCTCTTCAAATTTGAGATATGAGAACTTCCCCAGTTTTACAGAACGTTTTTAATGTAATTTAATTCAGTTCAATTAAACTGTATTTATATGACGTCATGTCATTTTGTTTAAAAGTTCAGTTATTAAAACTGAAGTCCTGATGTGTTCTGTGGTAAACAGGTCAGAGGGTTTTCTATTTTAGAGAATGGTTTAAAATCAGCAGGAAACCAGAACCACATCCAGGGTACCACGGATTGTT